TTCCCCCCTCCCCTACCAGCACTGAATTTTGTTAGTCTTTTATCTTGGCTAATCTCTTAGGCTAAAACTATTTTTTCCTACAACAAATATTTGATAAGTACCAATTAAGGCTGGTTACAATGGTGGCAATTTTGTGGAGCTCAAGCAACCACAGTAGCTGTCCTTGTGGTATTTATCTTGTTTATCACCACAGAGTGCATATACCACGAAACCTTGCAATATCTTATCATGTTTTTATTTCATAAATTTAATGATATTGAGTACTTTTTCCAAACTTAATGCTATTTACATTTTTTCTTTGAGATTTGACTCACTAATTTTACTGACTAATTGTTTGTACTTTTTATTTCTTTGTAAGACCTATTTATTTAGCAAGGCTAGACACCTACTTTTAGTTTTTGAATAATAAAAATTATACTTCATAAACAAAGGCATCAACTTTAAAATAAATTAACATTTGTATGTAATTTCTTTTAAGAAATAATATATATGCTAATCAATTATTTTTATATATTAAAAATAAAAATAAACAATAATTGATTCTGGTGTAAAAAAGATACCCTTAAAGGCAAATAGTTTTGAAAAAATACAAAATACAAAAATAGGAATAAGTAAGATACAAATATCAAACAAATACTTTCATATGACTAATGTCAAAATATAGATGACATAGTCTTCAGAAATAGTCATGCAGATTCAAAATGCCATTTCACTTAATAATGAAATGCAAAGTCAAAAAGATGAAATATTTCTAGATTAAATATTTCCATTGGATTAAATATTGCTGGCAAAGTCATACCATTGTTATTGAAAATGCCTATGTATACGAAAGTTTTTTGTTTACCATCTAAGATCGATTCTTTCAAAGAAGAAAATATCAACTCTCTCAGCATTTTTTTTTAAAGATTTATTTATTTATTCATACAGAACTGGGGTACAGGCCAGAGATGCGGCGGGTGAGCGGCTTCACCAGAGACAGAGTAGAGAGCAGCACAGGCAGAATGACGAAGTACACTGCTGAGGGGAACAGCGGGCGGGTCAGGAGAGGTCTGCCACGCCATGTGGATCTCCTCTGGGGCAGGCGGGGATCGAACTCATGCGGAAGTAGCTTTTGATTCTTAGTGCAGTGCTTTAACCCACTGCACCACCAGGGAGGGCCCGAAAATATCAACTCTATCAGAATGCATGCTTACATACCAAAGAGTAGCAGGAGCTCTCCAGACACATCTTACACTACCTATTCACCTGGCTGTGTAGCCTGATGCTGGGAGCAACTGAGTGAGTGACCTGACTGAGACACAGGCACTTTAGTGCCCAGTGTCTTCACCATTCACGGACATGAGATGGGCAGGGTGGTAATGGACTCCAAGAAGCATTCAACTCTATGATAGGGGACATGACTTATACACATACCACATCACCAAGTGGTATTAGCCTAATGAATATGATGGAGGAAATGCATACTACCAGTTATGCTGTGAGTAAACAAAACAGTCAATTTTAATAATGGTGATGACAACAACCAGCAAAGTCCCACAAAGTCCAACCTGCCAGTTTTCCCATCATACTCTAGTCCCTTGACTGACCTGTTTGGTGTAAGTGATCTCGGGCCACCTCAAATAAGCGCAGGTGCTTGTTGGTGATGGGGTTGAAAGAGCCACAGGCGAGGAGTATGACTGGGATTCTACTCTTCATCTTTTCAGGTCTATCCGCATCTGCTGCAGTGGCCACCCTGCGTTTGTGAGGGCAAAAACTCATGTCAGGGGGTTCACACCAATACAACAATCCAGATTAGTGTCTGAATATACCCAGGATATTACTTTTCACAGGTGTGATGACTGAGGAGACAATGACAATAATAACATTTATAGAGGGCTCATCATAAACTAGAAACAGAACACTAAACACTAAATTTAGGTGTAAGTTTTGTCTCACCAAATCCTTTCAACCACCTTGCGTGGTTACTTAGGTGGTTTAGAAATTTTAGAAGCAACAGGACCAGAAATGAAAGCTTGGTCACCTGACTCCAGAGACCATGTTCTACTTATAAACTTGAAACCCTCCCTGGACTCTAAGGAATCACATTGGTATCAAACGTGACTCCACTGGCTGTGTGATCTGCCAGTATGTCATCTCTCACAGTGCAAGTAGAACTCATGAAGTTCTAAGTAGACTGGAACTATTTAAAAACCTTCTTTTTAAATAATTTCAGACTTACAAAAAAGTTGCAATATTTATATAAAGTCCCTTTATATCTTTTACCGAGATTTCCCGAACATTAACATTTTACCATACTTGCTTTACCATTCATTCTTTTTCTACATACACATACCCACACACATACAATCTGTACAGACTTATAAATACTTCTTTTCTGAAATGTTTGAGAAAAGGTATAGACATATCTCTTTACCTCTAAATACTTCAGCATGTGTTTTCTAAGAACAAAGACATTTTCTTATACAACTGCACAGAAGTTATTAAAATCAAGAAGTAAATACTGTTATTGGGCTAGCAGCTGACGTAGAAATTGTTTCTGACTTCACCCCTTGTCCTTTATTTGTGCCCAGGCATTTTGGGAAGGCCCAGCTAATCCTTATATTTCCTTAATCTGTGTCCTCCAGCCCTGGGGGTGAGCTTAAAGGCAGGCAGGACACTGCCAGGGCCCCAGGGAAGGCTGCCAATGTGGTCCTGTGCCTCTGAGATGCTGCCTCTCAGAACAGTGGTGAAGAGTTTCACTCGACTAGGACTTGGCTTACTCCCAGTTCTATCTCTTACTGGCCGTGTGACCTAGGGCAAATCACAGTCCTTGGAGCCTTCACTTCCTCATCTGTAAAATGGGAATATTACTGACTCTTACAGGATTCTTGTGAGGGTAAATGAGTTAAGTATGAGAAAGTGTTTTGATGCATACAAACATTTAATAATCACTGTGGCTGTGGGGATGATGACAACAATGATGAAGAAGATACTGCTACTGCTGACCATAAAAAAATGGAGGATGAGGGAAAAGAAGAGTTGGGATGCTTGTGGTTGGAAGCTTCTAAAATGGCTCCTAATGATCCTCACTTTCTAGTATTTACTGTTGTCTTCTCCCCTTCAGTATGAGGTAGATTCACTAACTGCTTTGAATGAACACACCACAACAAGAGTGGGGTTCCACCTCTGCAAGATTACAAAAAATAACTCTGGCTGTCCTCTTTTGCCTCATTTTTTGCTCACTTGGAGGATGTCGGTTCCCATCTGTGTGGCGCCTCATGGACAGACCCATGGGGAAGGGAACTGAGGAAGACACTGGTGCCAATGCCAGTGGGTCATGAGGAAATGAATCCTGCCATCCACTATGTGAACTAATGTTGGGTGGATGTTTCCCCATGCAAGTCTTCAGATGAGACTGTTGCCCTGTGAATGCCTTGACTGTATTCAAAGTATTGTTACCAGAGGCAGACTTGTAAGAGCCTCTGAGGTAGAAGACCCAGTTAAGGGACATCTAGGTTCCTGACCCACAGAAATCGTAAGGCCATACAGAATTTTTCTTATAAGCTTTTATTTTTGGGTAATTTGCTCGACAGCAATAATATATATGGTGACTATAAGAAGCAATGCATTCACTTCCTCTCATTTGTCAATTATTCCTCTGGCTATAACTCCTCAGGGGTAAGACAGGAAAGGTCTCTGTCAGCAGAACCTGGAACTTCTTTGTGTCCAGGAAAACTGTCTTCATCTGCCCTTTACTGTTTGCTTCTTTAGTCTTGTACCCAACTGCTGCCTGTCTCATAATTTACACTCCACCAACAATGAACTACCTGCTGTGGTTTCTTTGGGTACTTGTCATGGCTTCTTGCCTTTATACATGCTATTTCAGTTTCCTCCAACTGGAATACCTCCAGCACATGACAAACTAGTCTTAACACTAGACTCAGATGATCACTTTACCACTTCAATCACCTTGTCTTGACTGCCTGCTTGGTGCTTGCATTAGTTAATGATGCATTTGGCCACAAGTTCCAGAAGTCTAACCTCAGCGGTTTAAACAAATAGAAGTTTGTTTCTCACATGACAAAACACCTAGAGGTAGGCAGCTGCTGGCACCAGATCACCGACTCAAAATGACCTGTCATTCTCTTGGCTTTTCCCTCATAATCACAAGATTGCTGCTGTAGCTACAGCTATCATGATTGATATTCAAGACAAGAAGCTAAAATAGAATGGTTGTCCCTCTTAATCAAGAATTAGCTTTTCCTAATCCCCTGCCACCTCCCCTATAGATTTTAAATACTCTGTGTCTCACTGATCAGAACTAGGTCGATTGTCATCTAGCTTAAGGGAGACTGTGGAAACAAGTATTTAGCTTTGCAGCCTCTCCAGAGGAACAGCAAGGGAAAGGGAATTGGGAATGAAATTAGCTAATGTAGTGTGTCTGCCACAGAACTGGGAATACAATTTTCACTGACAACAACCTTTGGGTTAGGCAATCTCACCTACCCTTAGTAAACCACATGCCACATTCTACTGGTAAAACTGCCCATGTGTCTTTCATATCCACCATAGCAAGTAAATCCCTAAAGAGCAAGAGTGGTGTATCTTCCTTGTTTTTGGATCTCAGCTCCAAGCCCATAGCTTGGCCCAAAGGGGGCTGCAGTAAAGCTCAAAGAGGGAACTGGCCAACTAAAAAGTAGACCTGAGTCCTGGTGGCAGGAAGGCCTAATTCTTAACTATAGTATGAAGATAAGAAAACAAACAAACCCTCTCAGCCTAGGCAGGCTGTGGTTTCCTCAAGGTTCCTTTGAGACAGCAGGTAACGCCCACTACCACAGGAGAAGAAAACAGGCACACCCCTGCTGCAACTTGCTGCTGCTAGCTCCTTCCCAGGATGCAGATGGTTTAATGAGATATTATTTGCAGAGTGTGCTGAGCTATGCTTAAAGAGCAGACTTGTGATGGGTGTATCTGAAGAGGCTGGCTTCCCTTCTCCCTGCCACAACTGTCATGAAGCCTTTCAAAATTCTATTTCAGTTTGACAAAATACAAGTCTTTCAGAGTCCTTACAATGTGAACCTGCAGCATCTCAGGTAATCTGGGGTTTTGATCTATTTTCCAAAGGGTCCAAGAAACTGTAAACGAGAACATTTGTTTGAATGCTGGCATCATCAACAATGGAGTGTGATGATGAGAAGGAGAATAAATGATGTCTAATAAATGTCTTTCTTCTCACGACACATGGGGCCCTACTGCTGTGACGGTGACCTGCCCTGCCAGAGCGACGTCCTGGGCAGCGGGCAGCACCGCCCTGCACAGGCCCTTGTACCTGCTTCACGTGTATGAACTAAATTCCCTTCCAGCCCAAGACCAGAGAAACACAATGACAGGGTGGAGGTGGACTCAGTCCAAGGTCCTTCAGGGGAATAAACCAGGTTGCAGTTAGAGTGCAAGTTCCATCAGACACAGGGCCGGATGCCATGACAGTGGCTCGGCTGCCCTTCATCCAATCATATCTGGCTAGATGAAGCGAGTGTGGGAGGCTGTTTATTGGGAAAGGCTTCTCATCAATAACCATCTAATAGAGATCCAGGGACTGAACAATGATTGCTGCTGAAGGACGTAACAAGTTTAGAGAGGAGGCACACACCCTCCTTGGAATTTATCATCAAATTGGACACAAGACAGAGATTCGACCTCTGGTCCCTTTTCAGCTTACTGCCACCTAAGTTCCGCTCACTCAGATAGTACTGTATCCGGCTCCTTAGATACAACACACTGCTTTCTTTCTCCTCAATTCTGCAAATGTCCTGACCACCTGCGACACTCATCACCCCTGCCTTCAAGGTTTTATCTTCCTACTCTTTACCCAGCAGCGCTTCCTGCACTGTCCTGTGTTACATTTTATTGCTCTCTCCTTGCACTGACCACAGAACTGCCACTGTTTGCATGGCATTCTTCCCCAACTGGAAGGTAAATTCCTACAGGGTGGTTTGAATTCATCTTGGTCCCCTCAGCTCCTGCAGTGTGTTCAGCACATGGGCTCAGGAAACGTGTGTGGATGAGTGACTATTCCTGACCTGGGTTCTCTTTTTCAGATAGTTATCTCTTTTTGGGGTTCTGTCTCAGTTAATGAACTGGGCCTACCAGAGACCCAGAGGCAGTGAGGTTCCTGCCCCAAGACGTACAGTGCCCAACTCAGGATGAAGTCAAACAAGGCATTCCTGTCCCATTGTCACATCTGCCTTGACACACTGGCCCCCTGCACACTGACACCAAGGCCATCACTCTCCCGGAGACCTGGAGGCCACCAGTTCCCACTTTGTCAGGCAAGATGCCAGTGACTGCTTCCAAATTCCCCTTCTAGAGGCCACCATGGGCCTTCGAATATGTGGCAGTGTGTGCTTTCAGACATTGTCCAGAACATCTCTAGCAAGACACCCTGTCTTTCAGCTGTGCATGACAGTTGTTTATTAACATCTACTTGGCAGGACCTCGGCTGGGTACTGGAGGCGCAACGGAAAGTAAGCAGGTGCAGACCCATCCTCACGGTCTTCCAGTTATCTATGGGAAGCACAATTAAACATACAGCCACCACTGGGGTGAGGGCTTGTGGCCATAATGCTGGATAATGGCTCCCCAAATGTCTAATACCTTATCCTAGAACCTGTGGATGTTATGCTACATGGTGAAAGGGACTTTGCCAATGTGACTTAACTAAGGCTCTTCAGATGCGGAGGGTATCCTGAATGA